CACCCAGGTTGCTCATTGACATCGGCCCCCACCACAATGGGGTATTGTTTCCACTTTTTCTTGATCCCCTTGAAGAACTGCTGTACCGCATCAGCGTAGACCTGTTGTGTCGCCCCAGTGTGACAATGAACCGATCCAAAAACAACTCGCCCCAGGCCTTTGACCCTAGCCAGAATCCAGATACCCCTCGTAGTGGCCGTTTTCTCGATGACACTGTCCAGGAGGTCCTGCGCAATGCCAATTCCTACCCCACGGTAATGATCAGGATGTCGGTGTAGTACCCAATGGAAATGTGCATCATCATGTTCTCCCCAGCCTGCTTCTCCACGAGCCACCTCTTGAACCGCAACAAAATCAGAGTCATGCAGCACAACCTCCAGAGTGTCAACAGGTTGTCCTCCCAAATTCCATTGTGAAAATCGTCCCGCTCGCCGCCTTGCACCGCGTAGCGAGGATGCCCCATAACTTCGCCCCCTTGATGGTTTAACCACGTCAACGTTGGCGTCGTCATCAGGCTGAGTGAAACAGGTCGTTGTGTTGGTTCAGGGCTCCCTTTCAAAGGCAGATCTCGCATCTGCCTCCGTGCACCCTGTGGTCTCACAGATTGCCATCACATCAATCCAGCCCCCGGGCATCAAAATCACCCCTTGGGTTCTGGGTTGACGGTGTGTAGAGGACCCCAGCTTTCTTGGTCCGCACCAAACCGTGCCATTGTTCCAATCGCAGTCATAGTTCTCCGGAACAACAGCGTGGGGGTTTTTGGGCGCGCCTTGCTCTGTGGTGCAGTCCGCCGCCAACTGCGTGGTCACCCTCCTGATCTGGCTCACAAGGGCGGACCTCTTCCGGGCTTCCTTGGTCTTCATGAACGCTGCCCAGGCTGGTCGTGGGTTGGGGGAATCCTTCACGCTTGGCACGACAATGCTCATGTCCCGTAGCCCTTTAACCACACCCCACATCCTCTCCCGGACCGCTTTGAAGTCTTCATTGGGGCGAATATCAAACTTCAAGCTCCCGACGGATCGTCTTGGCCCATAGACGGAGGCCTGCTCCACATCCAAGAGTCCCTG